CCTCACTCGCAGGCCAAAGGAGTGGATACCTTCGTGCTGCAGCTTCCACTGATCTGTCCCAATCCTGGCTCTCAGCTGCCCGCTCCTCACCCACCTTCCCACCAGGCTCAGGGCCTGCTTCCTCTTCCTTTCCTGGACTGACTGCTATCAGCTCTTTTGGCTATGTGCTTGCCCCTTCCCTTTACTCTGAAATCCATGGTCCTTAGGGAGAAGAAGGGCCTTCATAACCTCAGTTGTCTTCCTTTGGTCACCCTCCTAGTTTTCCTACTCTGGCACTTACATCTTGACTTCTCTCTTTTTGGTAGGAGGGGACTTCTTTTAATCTCTATGTCTTAGAAAACCCCTGGCCCCAATCAGTTGGCTCGCCTCACTCTCTTAATGGCAAATTCTTCTCCGCCTATTGTCCAGTCATCTTCTCCTAAAACAACAGCTTCCAGGTCCAAGTCTGACTTCAACTACCTCTCTGAGATTCCTTTGCTCATTTACATATATTAAAATTACACAAAAGCTGCATATATATTATGCACATATGTGATATATAGAATACATGCACAAGTACATCTAGTGCAGGGCTTGGCACTTTGGAGGCATTTGTCTCATATTCTATAACTACCTGTTCAGTACAGTAACTAATAATTACATATGGCTATTTACATTTAAATTTTAATTAATGAATATCAAATAAAATTAAAATTTGGTTCTTCAGTCGCACTAGCCAAGTGCTCAGTGCTCAGTGGCCACATGTGACTAGTGGCTAGTGTTTTCTATATGAACATCACTAAAGTTCTATTGGGCAGCCCTCCTCTATGTCATCTGTTGGTGTCTTTCTGCATCTCTCCGTATTATTGTCAGATCCTTGGAAACCCAGAAGAGACGTATCTTCTAGAAGACATTACTTCTAGAAAGTGCTCGTTCTTTTTCAATTCCGTTCTGCAAAACCCAAGACCAAGACGGGTCTCAGCACAGACAGAGCCTTATCCTGGGCTCCGGATGGGGCAGACTGGAGAGCACTGTTTTGCAGGCATTAGAAGGAATCACAGGTTCACTGTTCCCACCGCTGAGCTGCAGCCCCTGGCTTCTGCGTGGGTGCTCTTGAGACTCTCAGTGAATGGCAGTGATGACATGTTTAATGAAAGGTAAATATTTACGGTCAGTCTCCGGCAGATGTACTCCGTGGGTGGGTGGGTGGGTGAGTGGGTGGGTCAGCAAGGCCAGCAGCACAGGAGCTGGGATGCCAACCATGGTTATGCTCTGGATCTCACCCGATGCATTGTTGTGTGCCTAAACTTGACCCTGTTGTTCTGAAACCAGCGCAGGTAGGGAACCGGGTGACCAAGATACCATAAGCAGCCCTCCAACTCTAGAAACAATGTAGTGTACTTGGAGCTGGAGCAACTTTCCTTGCGCTGATTTTGAAAACTCCCAGAGAGGCACAACAGAGCCACCCAGACAGTCTCCTGGGACACTGCTGGCATCTAGTGGAAGGACAGGGAAGCAGCTAGCATGCAAATACTTGGCACTCACAAAGGGAGGATCTCAACCAGCCCTCACTTCAGATTGCAGGTTTCGCATTCCACATCCCCTGCTCTTGTTAGAGTGGTTGCCGGCAGAAAGAGAAGCCACAAGAATGGAAAGATGTCGCTCCAATTCACCCATACACCACCCACTACACTAACAGACCCAACGCCCTGATTTTATAATGTATATTTAGTTTTTGCCCCCTTTACTGTCCTAAAATTGAATTCATAGATAATATAACCTGTGTACATTACTATAAAAATCAATATAATGTCCTAACTATAATATAAAGGTCAAAACATGGATTTTTAAAATGTGTTTCAATATGTATATATTCACACATGAACAGACTAGAACACGTAGTTGGGTCACATGCTTGCACCCACATAAAATGATTGTGTGAATTTAAGAGAAGTAAGAATATCAGAAGCCACTCTATGCAAGAAGTACAGGAAAGTCAAAGAGCAGAAACACAGGTGGACGCTAGATTAAAACCTTGTATTCAAACAAATAATAACAGACCAACCTGATTATTTGTATGTGATAAGAGATAAAAGCAAATAACCGTAATGGAAGAGAAAAGGAGATGTATTTTACATTTGGCTCAATGGACAATGAAAAAAAGGAAAACAGCTATAGGAGGTGAGACACAAGCAGAGACCAAGAATGCAGCAGAAGCAGGAACTCAGGAAGTATCTAAAAGAAATATCAATCCTCTGAGAAGCTATGGAAATATGGAGGGGAGGGATGAGAATTTCCTGCTGTATGTGAGATGGGAGTCAGAGCCAGTTGATTTGCTATTTGATATTGAAGAGTGGGGTGGCCCTGTATGACTGGAGGATGAGGGACACCAGGGAGGCTGAAACTTGGGTTACAGATCACAGCCCAGGTACTCTTGCTGTCACTGTGTGAGCTTTATCAGCAAGATATGGTGCCTAGTTCAACAAAGGTTGGTTGTCAACTGAGTGGATCTGCCATTTGATTGAGAAAGCTGCCATATGTTTGATGGTGCCCTTGTGTAACTCAAACAAGTAGCCTGCTTAATATTGAGGCTCTCATTTACCAAGCACCCACTGTGATAGGTGCTTTATATACATCACCTAATTCTTGTAACAACCGTGTAAGGTGTTCACATATTATCTTCACTTTACAGGGACAAAAACCCAGATTTGGAAAATTAAATAAGTAATACAGTCAAGCTCGTGGCAGGATGTAGCAGAGCCAGGATTCAAACACAGCTGTATCTTATTTGAATCTCATGCCCACCCTAGCAAGCAGGTGGGTAGAAAAAGGAGTTACTGTTCCCACTTTGGTTTTGAGTGACCTAAAGCCAAGAGAAGTGATGTGACTTGCTGAATGCTGTGCAGCTGGTGTGTGACCTCCCTCTCTTGACGGCAGAGTCCGTGTCTTCTACCGCGTTTCCATCACATCTTGTGATACTCACTTCATGTCTTGTTTCAGGGATCTCAGAAATCAGCTGCAATCTTAAGCAAATTAAATTAAACTCTACTAGTAGGATATGAGAATGGTAATTTATCAACCGGTTCATAATGGAGACCAGAAATTTAAATGTCACTTAGGGTATTTAATTAAGATCTGTGCTTAGTATGGGAACAATTAGCTAACAGACTGCAAATAAATTCTCTGATTACGCAGGGATGGGATAGTAACTTGTTACAAAGCTACTCTTAGAGATGAGAGTGATTTTGCTTGAACATCTGTCATCAAATTGGTTGCTGAGTTTGATCCTGCATGGTGGGCCAAGCTGTATCACCTTCCTCCCTCATTGCTCCTTGAGCATCCTTCCTAATTTTGCATGCTGGGTCTAAGGTCCCAATGTTTGGAAAACCCTTTTCCTACCAGAGGTATTCAAGTATGAAGCATCTCTTGGGGACAGAACACATTCTGAAATCTGATTGTGAGAAACAATGTTATGGTCCTTCGAACTGTTCTCACTAAGCAGTGACCATGAGCTAATAGAATGAAGCTTAGGTGAAGTGAAATAACTGAAACTTTCATACACTGGGGGTGCGAGTGTAAAATGGTACAATCCTGGGAGAACTTTTCCTTACAAAGTTAAAAATACACCTACTCTGTTACTCAGCAGTTTTACTCCTGGGCATCTATCCAAGAGGAATGAAAACACGTTCACAAAAAGAGTCATATAAGAATGTTCATAGCAGTTCTATTCATAATAACCCCTCAAACTGGAAACAACCCAAATGCCCACCAACAGGTGAATGAATAAACAAATTTATGTTATATTAATACAATAGAATAAATACTAAGCAATAAAGAAAGAATAAACTGCTATTCACACAAGCAACGACATAGATGAACCTCAAAAGCATTTGTTGAGTGAAAGAAGCTATACATGCGTAAATAATCATTTAATTGATTCCAATAATTTCAAGTTCTAGAACAGGCAAAACTAAGCTCTGGTGATAGAAATCAGAACCTGATCAGCACTGTGAGCAGGAGTGCATTGACTGGAAAGAAACAAGGACATTTCCTGTGGTGATGAAAATGTTCAATATCTTGATTGTGGCGGTGATTACACCAGTTTTGTCAAAATTCATCAAACTGTACACTTAAAATGCAGTTGCTTTATTGTGTGTAAATTATATTCTAATTAAAAAAAAATGAAACCTAAGGTTGTTTCAGCTCCTCGGAAACCGTAATTGTTATCTATTTCTGCTTCTGCCTTCTCTCCCACTTCTTTTTTTCATGCCTCAGGCCTTAAATGATCAAGAATCATACCAGCAATCCTTAGCAGAAATAATTGGGGTGGAGCCTTGGGCAATGGGGCCATCTGTAGTTTAATGTTTAAGATCATGGTCAACCCCCTATGTTCACTGCAGCACTATTCACAATAGCCAAGATATGGAAACAATCCAAATGCCCATCAACTGATGATTGGATAAAGAAGATGTGGTATTTATATACAATGGAATACTACTCAGCCATAAAAATGACAAAATCGTCCCATTTGCAACAACATGGATGGACCTGAAGGGTATTATGCTAAGCGAAATAAGCCAGACTGAGAAAGACAAACACCACATGATTTCACTCATATGCAGAATATAAACAAACACATGGACAAAGAAAACAGTTCGGTGGTTATCAGGGGAAGGGTGTGGGGAGTGGGCACAGGAGGTGAAGGGGAGCACTTGTGTGGTGACAGACAAGAAAAAATGTACAACTGAAATTTCACAATGATGTAAACTATTATGAATCTCAATTTTTAAAAAAAGATTGTAGTCAACCCATGATTCTAGGGAGTCAATGAAGCAGCTTGTGGATAAACAGGTTTGAAGCAGAATGAAGTATAAGAACAGCCACGTGGAGTGTTCATGGAATCTGAATATCCCTATCCTGAATAGCCCTAGTTCAAGGAATGAACCCTGAGCACACACAGAAGACCTCCAGGGAAAGAGGGCTTACAAATTTAGCGTATTAAGAGCGAGGGAAAAGGGTACCTGCAGGCAGCTGCTTTTCAGAGGCACCAAAGTCTGCTCTTTCCCATAGTGGCACAGCAGGCCTAGTTAGTCCATTTGGACCTAGTGCAGTTCATGCATCATTCACAGTGGTGTGCTCTAACAGGAGTCAGTGGTGCCATGTATGGGCAAGAGAGGAACTGATCAGAATCTTCGGACTTAGTAAAGCCACCCCCCATGAAGCTGGTTATACCAACATGACCTGGTATGCTCACTTGGAGTTTGGCCCTTGGATCTACTGAGGTCATTGCAGATTCAGCAATGTGAACATCAGTCAACATTCCAAGAGCCAAAGATATCATGACCTTTGCATTAAATTGGCCATACTCTTCCAGTGAGACCCATGGCAGAAAGGAGAGAGAGGAGGGAGAAGCTGGGTAGAGATGGGAATGAATGATGCTGACTGCATTCTATACTGTTTCTTTGTCTGAGAATTCAGGTTTTAATATCTGTTCTCTAATTCTACAGCAAATAATCATCAGGTGCCTACTGTGCATGAGACTTTGTGCTGGACAGTGGGATTCAAGGATGAATACAACCTGGTTCTTGGGCTCAAGGAACTCAAAGTCCTGCAAAAGCCACAGCCATAATAGACCAATTGGAACACAGTGTGATGAGTTTCACTCACACACACACTGCCAGCTCTGCCTGGCAGCGCTGGAGAAGTCTTCATGGATGGGGAGACACATTAACTGAGTCTTAAGGACGAGTAGGAGTGATAAGAATAATGCAGGAAGAACACCAAGTATAAGGCAGAGGCATGAAATTAATGTGTTTAGGTGCAAGTAGAGGCAAAAGTCAGCCAGTGAGCAGTGAGAGTTTTTGTGAAGATGTGGGCAGTCTCTTAGAGTCCCTCACTAGCTGGGCCACTGGTCTCCCACTCTTGGCAGGCCCTGGGTTCAGCAGGTCTGAGGCCTCAGCTAATACCCTTGCCCTCATTCATGTAGAAGCAGAAACTGTGGGCTCGGTTTTGGACCCAAGGACTGGGGTTGGGAGCAGAAAATAGAGCTAAACTTATGTTAAAGGGCCAGCTGAAACACCTGTTTATTTGTGTTACCCACTTCCTTGGTCACTTCAACCAGAAGCAATCTCTTCCTCCTCTGGTCTCCTATAAGCTACTCTCTGTAGTATTAAGTAATAACGTAATAGGTGACGGTGGACTCTGGGGCCAGATTGCCTGGCTTTGAATCCTGACTCTGCTACTTGCTAGCTATGTGACCTTAGACAACTTGTTTTTTTTTCTCTGTTTGCCTCAGTTTCCCTACCTGTAGAATGGGGACAAAGATGATCCCTCTTACTCATAAATTAATATATATAAGGCCCTTAGAGCGCCGTGGGGCACATAGTAAATGTCCTATAAATGATGTTGATTATTATTATTAAAGGTAACACTAACTTCCAGTTATTGAGCACTTACAAGTACTAGGCACAGTTCTAGGCCCCTTACACACTTTGTCACAGCTCAGCTGTGAGGCACCCTGGTGTTTTAGCACAGAGAACGTCATACTGTGAGATGACTTTAGGGAGGACATTACTGCTTTCTCAATAGACGAAACTTTCTCTTCTGCACCAACTTTCCCTCCCCTGTGACCTCACTCACATATAAACCTCCCAAAGAATACAAACCGTCTCCAAGATGCCAACAGCTCTCACATCAACAGGCTGTTGATCTCAAGTCATCTCACATGTGGACACCCATGCCCATGACCCCAGACACCCAGAAGATTCTGAGATCCTGAATCTTGTCCTATACCCAGCACCCAACTTTCTCCATGATCTTAGGAAGGTTCATAATCCCAGCTCTTGCTACCTAGCTCACCTCCACGTCCAGAAACTCCATCTGCTCCCAATCAAATCTGATCTCTGTAGCAAACGCAGCAGCTGGAGAGACACTTTTCTTTCCTACTTTATACCCTATAAAACATACAGCCCCATGACAAGCTGTTGGCCTATAACCATGCTCTCCAGCAAGCCCTTCTTCAGGCTGTCTTCCCATCCCTCCCTGTGATTCACTCTGCACAATTGCCCCCACACACGGTGCAGCCACAACCTTATAGCCTAAAAGGGACTCAGTGGCTGAAGAAAGATGCATACTGCCCCTTGGTTTGACTTGGCCCCATCCATGGCTGGTTTGGTTTGGGGTTTCAACAATCCAAGGTTAATATTAACCTACCCACAGCTCCAAAGGGTCAGGTAGGACTTTAATCCTGATGGGCTGGGACACAAACCTCAAAGTCCAGGGCTCATCCAGACTTCTGGAATCAGCTCAAGCAAGATGGATGGCAGGGACCAGGAAGGCCCAGAGTGCTCTGCATCATGGGACACTGGGCATTCCTTTCTGCTCATGGATCCATATTTTCTCTCTCAGAAGCTGGGCCATGACTGTTCAGGAATTCTCTTCACCCAAAGAAAGCAGGCACATTGTTCAACAGGTACTCCACGGCTACCTGAGAAAAACCCAGCATCTCTTTACAACCTCATCCTGAAACATCTTCTAAGCCCACTGATGCTGCCCTGTCAAACCCAGTGTCAGATCCAAGGTTGGGCCTGTCATGAACCCAAATCTGGAATTCAAGAAATGCTGCAAAAGAGCTCACCTCAAATAGCTCTGCCTGTGGCCTTCCATGCCTCCATTGAGATTAATTCCTTTAGGCTAAGGCATCATAGCCTGACATCAATGTCGCCTTGGAAGAGAGGATGTTCCTTAGCTCAGTGCAAGGATCAGATTCAAAAGGTTCCTAGGACCTCATACTAGATTTAAACTTGAGAATCTAATAGAATAAATTCCGCTATTCTATCTGCTACCAGAGTGTCATAGTATTAACTCATTAAAATGTGGGAGATGTTGTGTGTGTGGAAGTCAGTAAGTAGCTGCAGGTTTGTGCTCAGGTGTTATACTCCAGGATCGGTGTTCGTGCCCTCCACACTGGAACATCTCCTGGAAGGGAGAGAGGAGGCCCAAGAATGGAAAATGGCCATGGAAAGTCTGGATCAGAGGGCAGTGAGCAGGCCAGGTGATGTGAGAGCTGACTGAGAGCGTGGGCTAGAGGCTGATTGTGGAAGGGTGAAAAGTGCTAGGAAAAAGGGATTTCCAGAGCCCAGAACAAGGCCACTTCTGAGGTAATACTGCCATCTAGTGCTGATACAACAAGCAGCAATTACCCTCTAAGAAAATGAAGAATGAGCCTCGAGTGGGAAAAATACAACAAATCAGCAGGAAACTTATTTTTAACTCCAACTACAGATTCTAAAAGACAGGCAAATCCCACTGCCACAGTCCTCAGAACAGCCTGAACTTTCCACATACCGCCGAATGGTTGCTACAGCTAGGTTCAAACCCCAGTTCTGCTCATTACCGATGAAAGGCTGGGGCAAATTAATTAAGTTCATTTTCTCTTCTGAAAAATAGGGAAAATAATATTTACCCATACGCCTGCTGTGAGAATCAAATGAAATAGCACATGCAACATGTTGGGGATATCGTAAGCACTTCATAAATGCTAGTTGTTGTTACATTCCTAACGGGGTATGGCAAGAGCTGGGACAGGAGCACAGAGGAAAGTACCTGGATAAATTAGATAGTAATTAGTGATCTTTAGCGAACCCCACAGGACTATTCTTGGAGAATTCATTTTTTTTTCACGTGTTCTCCACATTTGCTTTTCCAGCCTTCTGCCTACATTACTGCAGCATTTCTCCACTCAAAAACATGAATGGTTCTCCCTACCTCCCCTACCAGTCTCTGGTCAGGCCTCTCACACCATCCTGCCTGACTCCTCACTGCTCTCTGCCCATGGGCTCCAGGGACGTGGTTGCTCTTAACCCATCCTTCCCCCCCTCCCCAGACCAGTCTTTCCTTTACGACACGGGGGGCTTTTGAAATCCTCTACGTGAACTAACCCAGTCCCTTCGTCTAACCATCTTTGATGAATTGGGAAAATATATAGTTGGGGAGCAAATAAGCAACTATTTTATTTTGAAGTTTAATTTTTTAAGGAATTTTGCTTAATTATGAGGGAACTTTGTAAAGCACAAAATGTTCCTTTAAAAATTAACCTTACTCTGGCCTAGTTGCTGATTTACTTCCAAGCTGGATGGGGTTCCCATGTAAAGATTAATTTTTAGCCTTGACCCACTTCTGTACTCCTGGGGCTCTGGGTAGTGATGTATCTTTCCAATCACAGAGTAGTGAGTCTGGCTTGGAGTGGCTGCCTCCAGACACCACTTATCCCAGGTACTGGAAGATGCTAAGATCAGGTTTGTTGTTGGGTCTTTTCTGGGAGTTTGGAGCTGAGGAAGGAGATGAAGTGGCAGGTAGGATCATCGTCAATGGTAACTGTAGGTTTCCAAGGTGAGAGGCTTGTAGGGACATGTAGTAGACACTGAAGGGACTGGTAAAGGAAGGTTTGCTTGAAAGACACTATACCAAAGCTTACGTCTAGCGAAGTTAAGTCTCAGAACCACCTGGGGAAATATTTATGGGTGTCCTTTCGAGGGAAAATGGGTCAAAATATGCTTACTTGAAAGGGTGGTGGAAAATCTAAAAAGTACACCCCTTGCCTTCAGGTACTCCTCGTATCATGACCACTGCTTCCTGGCCTCAGGTAGAGGAAAACACTGACATGGCTACTGCTTCTAAAAGGCAAAAAAGTGTGTGTTTCTCAAACAATTGGACTGGCACAGTTTCTTTGGGGAATAAACTTGTTTGGAAATAGGTACCAATTCCCTGTAATGAAGAGCCTCCTGAGATTGTGATTGAGTCAAGTTGAATCTATAGATCAACCTGGGGAGAACTGCCCAAGAACAGTGATCAAGTCAGGGCGGTGTTGGTATAAGACAGACAAATAGATCAATGGCGTGTAATAGGGTCTGGAAATAGGATAAAAGGAGAAATAGCTTTTGATTATATTCTACCTCCTAGCAGGAAGCACAACTCCCAAAGTCTTTCCTCTTAATCCCTAGGCTACTCTGCATTTTACAAGATCCTTTGATTCTCACAAGATCACTATGAGATAGATATTCATATCTTAATTTTATAGGTAGATGAGAATTGGAGATGGCTAGACTAGATGGAGTAGAACATCATCAATGGGATACCGTTTGAGAAACAATGGGAATATTCGCAAATTCCCAGAGAACTTTTCCCAGAAAAGGATTTCTGTTATGCTCTATGTCATATCAACTAACAGAGAACGAGCTATTGAAATCTGTCTTCTCCTCTGACTCTCAGCTTCTTGAGAGCAGAGATTGACATCATATTAGTTTTATTTTAAATCTCTAGTGTTTAGCACAATGCCTAGATAAATTATCAGATTATGTTTGGCTATGCTGTAGTAAAGAATAAACCCTGAAATCTTAGTGACACAAATATTTGCTTCTTGCTCATATGAAATCATCTGATCTCCAGGGCTGCTCCATTCCAAACGGTGATTCAGGGATCCAAGCTGCCTCTATCTTATAGCTATGCCTTCTGGAGGCCATGGCCTCTAGATTGCTGTGGCACGAGAAAAGAAAGACAGAGGATCACATATGAGCTCTTAAATTCTTGGCCTAGAATTATCACATTTCACTTCCACTCCTAGCCCATTGGCCAGAACTAGTCATATAACTCTGCACATCTTTAAGCAACTGGGAAATGTTGAGGAGCACATAATGAGCAGTAAATGCCTCTGCCTTCCCGGCTAATAGCACGTACTCAGTAAACCTTGGTGGAGAAACTAGCGAGTAAATTTGACACAAGGTTCGAACTACACTATCACAGAATTACTCAAATCTTGAAGCAACTTTCAACCTCCAGAGCCTCAGATGAGTGTGCACATACCATCAACAAAAGGAATAACACAAATGGATCTACTACTTATTGATGATCTACTCTCTACAAGGCATTGTTCTAGAAACTTTATATGGGCTATAGTGTTTACTCCTCCTGAGGGTCCTATGGGATAGCTGTTAATATTCTTCTTTCACAAATAACTTTTTCATGGAATCATGGTGAGCAAGTAGCAGAGCTGAGGTTTGAGCCCCTGTTTGCCAAGTTACAAAGCTTGTGAGAGTATCTTCTTGCCTCTAGGGACTCCTTCAGGTATTGATGCCTTATGGAGACTCATTAGCAGCTGAAAGCAATGGTCTTTAGAAATACAACCTAGAGTAGCTGCCATAGTGAGTGGTGCTAGGAGGAGGGCAGAGACAAAGCTCCATTCCACAGCTGGCTTTCTCCGTCCCCAACTCTTCTACCCTTTCTCGGCTCTCTCCTGTTGCGTCCCAGTGACTGCCGCTATTAGGTATAGAGACACCAACAAGACCTAAAGTCAGTGGGGAAAACAATAGAGTTGAGAGCTTGTTCTGAACATTTGTGTAGTTTCTGACATCTGTTTTGCACATTCCACCCTTTTTGAGCAAATGAAGGGGCAAGAGCAGTGATCTTTACACAGGACACCTTTCCCAATGGTCTAGATTTTGTAGGAATTGACCAAGCTCACTTTACGCAGTTCTTCCAACCCTACAGAACAGAGACCTGAACGTCTCCTAATATACCACTAATACTCTATACTAGCTCAAGTATATCTAAAGAAGGCAGAAGGGTTCCTGGTCAGGCTTTGCCATTCTCATCTTTGAGCATAGATAGTTCAATTGCATTCTCTGGGTTTTAATTTTGTCATCTATAAAACAGGCTCTTGAACATCTACTTTCTGATCACCCTTTATCTCACCAGGTTATTGTGAGCATCAAATGGAATAATAGATGGAAGAGTGCTCTGTAGACTGTTAAAATTGATTTAAATGTTCAAGGTCGTTATTTATGACAAGTATAGGGGAGAAAGAAATATTCCTCTACCCTCCAGCTTCTTCTGGATGCTCTAAGCATTAAACTGACATGAGACAGAATAACAGGAGAAAATCAAATTTTATGACATGTATACATGGGAGACACCCAGGAAAACTGAGTAACTCAACAAAATGGCTCAAGCCACCATCTTAAATACCATCTTCAGCTAAAGATAAAGGAGGATGTTGGGAATAGTGGTTTAGGACCTCAAGGGTGAGGAAGGCAATTCACATGGAGATGGAAAAGCAAATGTTTGGTAAATAAATGTTTGTCATGCCTTATAAAGACAATGAGAGGTAGAGAGGACTTTGATCAAATGGGCCTTGCTAGGTTCCTCCCTGTCTACCACATGAAGTTCATATTCTACTAGAGTTATCTATGGTGATAGCTTTTGTAACAGGCTTTTTATTTTAAGTTCTTTTAGACAGTTGGGGGAAGGTCAAAATTTCTTCCTGAATCTTTTGTTCTCAAAAATAATCAAGCCAAAGAGACACATTTTGGGATAGCAAATACTCCTGCCCTACGCCAGCTAAATAGTGAAATTTTCTTCCTTTCTGATTGAGTTATGATTTTGTGGAGGGAAGGAAGCAAAGCTGCATACACCCATGGCATTTTAAGCACAAGCTCCCTCAGTCTATAAACTACACTTGTCTGTACACATTTGCTTCTTTTGATGATGCTTAAGAGCCAGGCTATGGAGTCAGAACACATTATTAAGATGTGTGATGTTGGGCATAAGATTTTAATCTCTCTGAACTTTAGGTTTCTCATCTGTGAAATAGGGATAATAATATTTATGTTTGGGGATTATTACAAGGGTCGAAACATTAATGAACATAAAACAGTTTACACAGTGCCATCATTGCAATCTTATTGTCATCATTATTATTAAGGAATCATCATGCTGTCTCCAAAGGTCTTTGTGTAACCAAATTATTCCACTGCTCAATAGAATAAGAACATCTCTAACATTTCAAAACACCATATGAGGGGCCAGCCCTGTGGCAGAGCAGTTAAGTTCATGCACTCCGCTTTGGCAGCCTGGGGTTTGCCGGTTCAGATCCCGGGCACAGACATAAGCACCACTTATCAAGCCATGCTGTGGCAGGTGTCCTATATAAAAAATAGAGGAAGATGGACACAGATGTTAGCTCAGGGCTAATTTTCCTCAAAAAAAACACACCGCCGTATGAGCTCTTGGATCAATGTCTCCCAGAATGTCCTAAACGGTCTCCAAGACCTCATAGAAAGCACACAATTTATAACACACCTGTGGTCCAAAACTCTACTTGGAAGTCATTTGTTTGGAATTCAACACATATTTTCCTATAGAAAGAAAGCTATTAAAATAGCGGTTGGATTCCCAGGTGACTGGAAAATACCCACTTAATTAACAAAGTAGCAGAAAATTGGCATATTTGCAATGCAAATGAGTATAAAGCAATGTTGTTGCATTTCTAGTCATAGGCCAAAACTGAAAACCAAGAAAATTGTGTAATAAATACTTCATTTATTTTTCATAAATGCTGACGATGAGGAAAAGCAGGCTTAAGTAGAGAAACAGAGAGCTTAGTGGCAACTTAAGGAAGAAATCTTAAGCTGCTTCTGAGGGTGTTTTCGAAGGTTTTGGAGCTTCTTTACCCAGTCTAAGTGCGTCAAAATGTTTTTATTTTTTTGTTCTTGATCCAAGGGACTCCACAGCACTAATCTCATCTGCCACTATGGAGTTATTTTTGGTTTACAAATGGAAAAGGAAAGGAGATGGGAGAGATTAAGGAAATGGGAGAAGTGGTGAGAAAGATTTCTCAGAAAAAATCAGCAAATAGTTTGGAGAAATTCAGGAAGGAGGAAGAGGCATCTGTATGTAGTGAGATGGATTACCTGGTCTGTGAGCAGGGAGAACATGTGGATGAGAACCCATATCCTCCTGTAAAAGGGAAATGGCGTCGTGACTGGTCAAATAGCTCCTCACAGAAGCCGTAAGATGGTCCCACATGCCAGAACAGCTTGTAAAAAGAGAGGCCTCAAAGTTGGTGAGGAAGAGGGAAGGAAGGCTGGGAGCACCCAGGTATTCGGTGTTAGGAAATAAGCTCAAATAATGTGCTGGTTTCCCGTTTTGTACTTTATTGCTACAAAGTAAGTGCTGAACTAGAATGTTAGCACGATCTTGTCTAAACAGAGATCTTTGCATTTACAAGCAAGGGAAGCACAGAATGTGAGGACTTGAAGGACCTCGGCCAGATCTTTAATTTCTGGTGGCTCCAAATCTGGTAGAGATTAAACTGAAATATATAGAAAACTATAGTTTTTCAAATGAGGAAATGAGGCCCACAGAGAGGAAGTAACTTGCCTATGCTCATGTAACTAGTAAGTGTCAGCAACCTCCCTGAAGCAGTCTGCCACTAACTC